GTGACTTCAGTCATGCTGCCTTCTCTCTTACCCATAGTTCATTGCAAGTGGTCTCAAATGAAGCCCGGTGACGCATTCACCTCACAACGTAGTTTGCTTATATTTGGTATTTCTTTGAAAAAAAACTGGTAGGGGACACATCTCACACTCCTAAAGTTACACACATTTATTTTTTGGTCATCCTTTGTTAAATTTTTATTTATTTTATTCTGAGAGTGAGAGAGAGCACACACAAGCAGGGGAGGAGCAGAGAGAGAGGGTAGAGAGAATCCCAGGCAGGCTCCCCTGACACCACGGAGCCTGATTGCGGGGCTCGAACCCATAAACTGTGAGATCATGACCTGAGCCAAAATCAAGAGTCAGTCACTTAACCGATTGAGCCACACAGATCCCCCCCCACCCACTTTTTTTGGTCATTTTAAAAATAAGATCTCGGAAAGCAGAAGATCGGAAGCCAAATACAGGTTACCGATGTCTCCATTCTCCTGCGCTCTGACCCACCCGTTGAAAGAGGGTACCCATCCCATGCCTATGTTTTATTCGGTAAGGATTTGTTCACCTGACACTGAATTGGTAGGTTGTCTCCTCCTTATGAGATTGGAAAATTGGGTTTAAAACAGAAGTAGAATCTGCCTCCTGTCCAGTAAACCTGGGCGCTATTGTGTTTAGGGAGCTTTGGATAACTAACGTTGCCCTGAGTCCAATCAGAGGTTTTTAAATGTCTTTGGCAATAAAGTTATTCTAAAATCTAGTTCATTTAGATACAACCAATCTTCCTTATCTTCATGATTTCAGATCACCTGGCATATATGTAAAGCCTGGCATGAGCCGGTACAATCACAGAATTACCATACGGTAAATCATTTACCATCATGTCATTTTGTTGACAGGTGCTCCGCTTTGGAAGTCAGATGCTTTTTCTTTTCTTTTTTTTAAATATTTTTATTTATTTCTAGGAGAGAGAGAGAGAGAGAGAGAGAGAGAGAGAGAGCGTGAGCAGGGGAGGGTCAGAGAGAGAGAGGGAGACACAGACTCTGAAATAGGCTCCAGGCTCTGAGCTGGCAGTCAGCACAGAGCCCGACGCGGGGCTCGAACCCATGAACCGCGAGATCATGACCTAAGCGAAAGTCGGACGCTTAACCGACTAAGCCACCCAGGCGGCCCGGAAGTCAGATGCTTTTAAACCATGCTAGGAAATTGTAGTTTCACTTACTACTTCTAAAACATTTCACAAAAATAACGTTCAAGATAAGTATCGAGGTTTTTAATGAACTAAAATCCCATGCATCATTCGTCTTGATTTCATATTAGCATGTACGCAGGTGATTGCAATTGATTCTGAAATTGTATGAAGGGCACTTTGATTTTAAATTCAGACGCTTTCCTGGTAAGGGTAGATTTTAAGGGGAGCCTTGGCTTTTTTTTTTTTTTTTTTTTTTTTTTGCAAATTCCTGTTGATGTATCTCTTACAGTTTGTTAAACCAAGAGGGAAAGGGGACCTCGGTGGTGTCACGGTCCAGGAGAATGGTTTTTCCCGTGCGGACCTTTCGCCTGAAGCTGACCTTTGTTATTAGAAACTGAAAGGCAGTGGTTGCTCAGAGCGCAGGCTACATTTGCAAATGAAAGTCTGGATTTTACCTCTTTTTATCAGTGCTCTGTTTGCCTAAGACTTAGCCTGATAAATCTGCTGTTTGACCCCTGGTGGCTGTGTTTCGGAGTCAGGAAAGTAGTAGGCCTCCTGTGGAGCCTGGGAAACCTCATGTTTCTGTCGTGCCCTCGCTCTGACTTTGGGGAAACCTCGGGGCTTCACGTTCCCATCTGCGAAGTAAAGCCAGTACGTACCCTGCTAGGCTACCAGGGTGGTTCTGAAGTTCAAACCAAGATGTTGGTGGACCTGGTCTGTAAATCAAAGCGGGTGACTATTGTGGTGATTGAAGCTTTTAGGGAACTTACGGTCTCTTTGGCAGGGCCCGTGGGGGGGGGGGATGGGGAGGGGGAGGGAACCAACCTTGGTGCTTCATATATGATAAAAATTCCAGTGTGGTGTTTAATCATATTTAGTATTTATAAATCTGCAAAATTAGTATCTTAGGAGTTGTAAAAATAAGCTGGTTGAATATTATTGTGGTGTGAATCCTGAAAGTAAACTCAGTCTAGTGGCCCGAGTGACCGTTGTCAGGCAGAAATGTCAACTTCGGGTAGCGTGAGCCAGTTTTTCTACTGCACATGGATTACGGGCTGTTTTGAGTAGCAGTGCCAGTCTGGTCTGTGTGAATCAGGTTCTGGAAAGTCTCTGTCCCAACCCTTGGTGGAGCCACCGAGGGTGGCTTGAGTGGCCGTGGTGAGGCTCGTGTACAGAAGCCAACACAGAATGTTGAGAAGGCAGAGGAAAGAAGGAACTCGTGCCACTGAATTCAAACGTCCCCTCCTCAGTGACAAGCTAGTCCATCAAGTTGCGGGTTTCCTCCCGGAAATGGTCGGCAGGCATAACTGGGGGGCTGCTGCCCTTCACTCCTGTCTTCCGCCCTTTCCCAGCACTCTCCTTTGTCTTCCGGTTGCTTCCTCTCCTCTGTTGGCTAATTAGAGCGGTCTCCTCGGCCTTGGAATTAGCATCTTCGTTTGCCACTGCTTCATAGCATAACTAGGCAACACGTTCTTTTTCGCAGGAGCAGGTAATAGAGTCCAAGGAACAATCCTATAAGCAGAATGTCTGATTTGCTCAGGTGCGCTGTGATTTTTTTGGCTCCAAGCACCTGTCTCTGGGGAGCAGGTACCCCTTGGAGATAAAATAACCAGGCTGGGTTGTGTGTCTTCAGCATGTATGTGTGTCCTTTCTTGAGCAGCAAGAAATTCTCACCTCACCTCAAAAGGGTGAATTTGGATAGGATAGGCTCCCGTTTAAAACTGCTCGTGAGTATTTTCTTTTTTGAAACTTTGAGGTGAGGCGTTAATACCACAGTGCTTTTTTTTCCTTTGCATTCTCCTCTCTCAGCAACACGTACTGAAATATTTGGGAATGAGATGCTAGGATGATGTCTGGGATTTACCTCAGAGCAAGGTGGAAGCGGGTGGTGTGGGTGGCGGTAGAGATGAATCAGGGCTGGCTGTGAGCTGGTAGTTGTTGAGGGAGGTGAAGCGGGTATGTGGGTTTCATTATACTATTCTGTCTATGTATACCTTATGTATACATATTTATTTGTAAGTTTCCATGATAAAAAGTAAAAACCACAAAACCACCCTACCTTAGATTTCTTTTTGCATCGAAGTAGAGTGCAGCCCTCCTCATGTGACCTTCAGACCCCTTAATCACCTGGCACCTATTAACCCTTCCGGGTTCATCTTCTCATGAAACTGTGTGCAGTAGCCCGAGTCTTACCTCTGGCCCTTTGCACTGGTTTTCTTCTCTTCCTACAACACTCTTTCCTTCCCTTCCCGTCACCTCATCCTCACCCCAGTTTGCCTGACACTTCTGGACCCTTGGATCCCAGATGACCTCGCTTCCTGCAGGCCTTCCCTGATTGACCTCTGCCCCAGCGTGGGTTGAATAGCCTCCTGGGGAGGGTTGCCTCTGTCACAGTGACCCTCACTTTAGCCTTCCTCTCGGTGATTCTAACCACCACTGTCTGCCTGTCACTCTCAGTGTATTAGACACTTTTTTGAGGAAAGGGATTAGACCTTGTTCACCCTTGGGTCCCTTGCACTCCGCACGACGCCTGGCACGTAGCGGCCCGTCCGGCGGTGAGAGAGTAAAAGGCCCACCCGGGGCTTGCAGACGCTTGGCCTCTGGCCCCCCCCACGCCGCCTGCTCAGAGGCACAGTGGTGCCCCGTGTGCATGTGACTTCCGCCTACCTTCTCGTTTTTGCTCCCACTCACGTCACCTCTGTTCTGTGTCCTTCGTACTTTGGCTGACTTACTGTGCGTCACAGCAGGACATACTTTCTAGAATCCCTGCATGTGGGTAAGGAAGGTCCAGTCAAACTTGGAGCTTTTATACTTGCCGAAATGCCAGGTTGTGAAATGGCGTCCAATACTAGCAGGCACATTTAAACACATTCCTCACTGATGTGATGTGGCGTCCACTGTTGGGAATGGGCCTCTGTAGGACACCACTCCAGGGGCGTCGGAGCTGCATTGCCACGTTGGTGGCTGACGTGTGAACCAGGAGGAATGTGCATTACAGCGGTTTGAAATCGGAAAAAGAAAAAAAAGTGCATTTGCACGGGTTGGATAAAGACATTTCCTCCTATCCTGGGATGCTCTGCCAAAGTGAAAATGTATCAGCCAGAGCTGGGCGTGCCGGTGGTGGCGTCACACCAACGGAGGGCAAGTCCAAGAACATACATGGTGTGCTACTATGTATATCAGGTTCACAGAGCAGCACAAGGAAACAATGTACTGTTGAGGAGTTCATAGGTTATACTGTGCACACACACGCATATGTGATATGTGTATACATGCATACATGACCACCTATAACAAGCTTGTGCATGCACGTGTGTAATATTCTTGTGCATATATACATCTGTGTACATATATATTTTCTCATATATGAATATACATGCCGAGAAATCCAGAGGTCAGGACAGAGGTGTTCTCCTGCAGGAGGGAGGGAGGTGACCTGGAAGAGGCACGTGAGAGTCACAGAGCAGATGATGCTCTGTCCCGGGTTGCCCGACGCGGGGCTCGAACCCACAAACTGTGAGATCATGACCTGAGCCAAAGTCGGACGCTTAACTGACTGAGCCACCCAGGCGCCCCAGCAGTCTTTATGTGAGGCTACATTCCCAAGCACTTTGATGAAGAAAGAGGTTTATCTTGTTGCTTTTCTTCCACTGTTGATGGGGTAACGTTCATCCAGTCATTCCTCACTTTCTGCGTTACCTACGACCGTGGGTACAAGCGCACGTGCATTAGTTCCCATTGGCGATCAGCAGGAAGTAGATGAAGGGGACAGATCATCTTCCTCTCCCACATCATGTCCTGTCCTTGTTCATCACAGATGTCGCCGTGGTGGACATGAGTGATGTCTCCAGACAGCCTTCGCTCTTTTACCATCTCGGGGTCCGAGAAAGCTTTGACATGGCCAATAATGTGATCCTGTACCATGACACCGACGCCGACACTGCTCTTTCATTGAAGGTAAAGGGTATCGTTCATCTTCTTGTGAATACTTTTTGAGAAAATGGCGTTATACGTGCAGATGAAACGTACATGTAGTGCAGGAGGTTGGAGAAAAACAAAGATTTGCTTGTGCAATTGCTTCCTTCCCACTACAGGTTCTCGCTCACACAGACAACTTCCTGACCACCGTGGGAGCGTATGCACTACACCGAGGCATTTGTAGGCAACCTGAACGTTTCCGGGCTCATTAGGGAAGTGGAGGCAAAAACCGTTTTCCTTGAAGCCAACACACAGCTCGGAGTCCTTTAATGGGCAGTGTGATGCAGACGTATGCATTAAAAAAATAGTTTCTCAACTTGAATAATAACAAGACAGCACATGACCGTTACCAAAGTGGGCAGAAAGTTCTAGCATAGATATAATCTGTATTCAATCTGTTACCCCCACCCCACCATCCAAAGCAGAGGAAACCTGAAAACTTGTCTGTCTTGTGCACAACTCTGTAATTACTGAGATTTTTAAAAATGTATTCTTGCAAATTTGAAACCAGTGTTTTTTTGGATAATCGTACTTTTTAAAAAATGGTCATATTGGGAACAAGGGGGAGATGGCCGTGGAGTAGAGGACCTGTGTAAGTGGTGAATCACTGCCTTGTACACCAGAAACTAATCAGACAGACACTGTACATTAATTATACTGGAAGTAAAAAGAAAACTTTAGACATGCTCCTCTTTGTAAAATGCGAATGTCTAAGGTGAGCTACTGTAAAACTCAGCTAATATTAATATTGTTGAATATCTTAATACGAGTCAGAAAAACTTCATCTCTATGAAATCATTTCGGGAATAAAAGATTAGTTTGTTGACAGCAGTACTGTTCAACCTTGACTGCACTTGAGAATTACTCGGACAACTTGCAGATATCCCAGTCCCCACGTCATACCCCAGACCAGTTACATCACAGTCTCTGGGGGATTTTTTTTTTTTTTTTTAACCTCTCAAAGTACAGCCACTGGTGAGAGCTAGTGGCTTAAAGTTAGCTGTCACGGACACCATTTCTAAATGTCTGGTCCCTTAGCATTAGAAACCACTAGTATATAAATAGCACAACTTGCTGATGGCAAAGTTGAACATTTTTGTGTTTCTTGGGATTTAATATTAACCAGATCTTTCTAGGTTCTGTAATAATTGGGGGTTATTTCCTGGTAGAAATACAGCCTGCTTCAGGTGTGAAACCTGTATGTGTTCTCTGTCACACATGCTTCACGTGGCTGTGCTCTCTGTAGCTGTAGCGCAGTGCTGTTTCAAGATGTCATTCATAAGACATTGAAAGAAGAAACTGGTTTATTATTGTACTTGGCGTTGTAAAATAGTTTCTCAAAAGACTATAAGCCGATCTAAGCTATTACTTCAGATGTTTAGATCTTGATTTTCACTGAGGGAATTTTGCTTGGAAATACTTAGAAGATACAGAAGGGTAGATTCTTAAGCTATATTTTGATGAGGAACATGAAATCAGAAAGTGTTTTTTTTCCCGATGCAATATGTGATTTTTCTCAACTATGCCGTAGTGGGCTCCTCTGGAAAGTCCCATAACCTAGGTAAGTGTTAATTTTTTAAAAATATGGAAAAAAAACTTCCTAAAATGGAAATGGGTAGTGTGTTATATCTGACGCTGGAAGAAGCCATCCGCACTTGTCAACAGAAAACTGAAATCTCAGAACATAGAAAACCTGTTTTTATGGGGCAGCTGTTTAATTATGTTTTCTCTTCTCAGCAAATGTTGGCTGACAGTGCGTAAATGGCACGGTCAAGGGCTGCACAACCATTATGCTAAGTTAACTGACTAAAATTGCTGTCACTGAATCTGGAGGTTCCTAGTCGATTACAGTGATGCGGCAGAAACCCTACCAGCAACACGCCTTCTGCAGAAAGGCTGACGGGGGGTGCAGGGGGGCGGGGGACGGCACTGATTGAGTCAAGAAGCAGTACTTCCCAGGCGGTTCCTTGCCATCCCCGACACGGTCCCCTGGATAGGCGAGGTGCAAGGTGCTCAGAGCCCGAGACCTGACTCTCACAGTGTTGGGACAAAGTCATTGCCACTACTAGGGGACATTTTCTTTTTCTTTTTCTTTTCTTTTTTTTTTTTTTTTAATGTTTTATTTATTTCTAGGAGAGAGAGAGAGAGAGCGCGCGAGAGAGCGAGCGAGAGAGAGAGCGTGAGCAGGGGAGGGTCAGAGAGAGAGGGAGTCACGGACTGAAACCGGCTCCAGGCTCCGAGCTGGCAGTCAGCACAGAGCCCAACGCGGGGCTTGAACCCACGAACCGCGAGATCATGACCTAAGCGAAAGTCGGACGCTTAACCGACTAAGCCACCCAGGCGCCCCATACTAGGGGACATTTTCATAACTGTAAATGTTCCTTAGTCATTCCCAAAGCCAGCCAGTTATGATCTCTTTTCTTTAGAACATGAATTTTACAGTTCTCTGAGGCTCGCCCTATTTGAAGCTTTTTGCTCAGGGAAAGGAGGGGGGGTTCAAATGATAACTCTTGCTCTGAGGTGGGTGCTGGGTGATGGGGGCCAAAGTGCTTGTAGTGCTTATGAAAATTAGTGGGGGGTTTTAGAAACTATATTCATCTTGTCTTTTTCTTTTCAGGATATGGTGACCCAGAAAAACACAGTAAGTATTCTATTTTCAGATTTTTAACCTAGTAAATGTATAAGATGCTTGCCTGAAAATCCTACAGATAACAAAGTGAATTTTTTTTTAAGTTTTATTTACTTTGAGATAGAGCGTGGGTGGGTAAGGGACAGAGAGAAAGGGAGAGAGAGAATCCCAGGCAGGCTCTGCACTGTCAGCAGAGAGCCCAATGCGGGGCTCGAACTTAGAAACCATGAGATCATGACCTATGCCGAAGTCAGACACTTAACTGGCTGAGCCACCCGGGTGCCCCACAAAGTGATCTCTGATTGTGTCTGTTGGCGTTTCTCTCAGGGGGATGGCTAGTACCCCCTGTCCTTCAAGCTGCCTGCTGGCTCAGGGCCCACTCCCATCCGGGGTGAAGGATGGAAGGCAAGGTCAGGCAAATGGACTTCTTCTCCATTGTGTACTGGGACTTTGAGCATGGAACGGTCTGGCTGTCTCTTCTGATCTGGGTTGGTCTCTTGGACCACCAAGATTGTTTTCACTGGAGCCACTACCTCCCGTATTTCCCACCCAAGTTTCCCGAACAACAGAGAAACATGAACTTATACCTGAGGTAATACGGGGCCTAACCCGGAGTTCCTGCAGTGACAGCAACATCATGTTGGTTTGAATTGTGTAATGAAATCCCCACTTTCAAGACCTTCAAATGAGTTCACGTCCTTGGAAGTGGTGCTGTTACCCCGTATCTTGAATGCACCTCGGAGCGTGTGTCTTCCTAGACCCGTAGCGCAGTGGTTTTTTGACCAGTTGTGACCTAGACGGAGGAGGTGACCTTCGTTTCTTTCCTTTGACCTTAGCCTGCTTGTACTGGTCCTTCTAGAAAGGAAGGGCCTCCTGCCTCTTTTTCTATACCGGTTGGAATTCCCAAAGGGACAGGGACAGACAGAAGGGCAGAGGAGCTAGGGCTCTCCCAGGGCTGCCCCCTTCTAGGGGAACGGGAGCTTTGCACGACATCCCCCCTCCACACCAGGCCCCACCCCGCAGCTGTGGGCTTAGTCTTCTTCAGAACCCAGGCAGAGCTCCCTCTCTCAGGTGCAAGCCTCGCCTCTCCTCCTCCAAGCCAGAGGCTGAAGTTCTAGAAACCAAACATGCAGTGTAGGTTACGTGGCTGCCACTGGAGCTTGGATTTCATAAGCTGCCGTGTAAAATTAAGGCATCAGGGTGGGTTAGGGTTCTTGGGAAAATAAATAGAAAGACGGGTCACTTCATTTTGTTCCATTTGCACACGGATACTCTCCACTTATGGGGGTCTTTCTTGTGCTTTCTAGATCTCGATTTCTTAAATTACCTTCTTTATGGAGCTTGGGCGGGCTGGGGGCCGGGGGATCCAGTAAGAGGAGCCTGAGCCCGAGGCTGGCAGGCACAGGGGTAGCCCAGCCTGGTCTCTGACGGGCTTTGGGCAGCCACCCCTGCCCCCATCCTCCGAGTCCTCATCAGTGAAATGAGAAGGTTAAACTCTTGGGCTTGGCTCATAGATAACTTGCAATTCTCAGAGTCTGTGTTTCCATATTTGTTGCACAAGTGAAAAGACGTAACTTGGATTCAATGCAAGGAATGTCTCAGAAATAGTTATTCCTCAAAACAGTAATTACATTAAGGCAAAGCGCAAAGAAAACTCTTTTTCCATCCTGACTATTAAGTGTTTTGGAGCCTAGAAATATTCTTGTTCTCTAAGAGACTTAGGAGTGTCCCTCTGTTACCATTCCACTGAATACCCTCCTTTCTGGCACATGCTCTCTCCTCTAAACACCCAGGAATTCCTTCACATTCTTGGTAATTCTAATGACACCAGGGCACCCTTCTCCCTGGGTGTATATGTATGTATGCATTTGTATGTTTGTTTGTTTGTGGTGAACTTACTCTACAGGATTTGGCAACTAATCTCTCTGCTGTATTTGCTGTTACTTTCGAATTCAGTGCTCACTACTGGTTGTCATGCTTCATGGGGTGTGAAAATTTAGAGCATTCAGGAGAACAAAATAAAGGACCAGAGGTGGCCGGAAGGGTGGAAAATAGCACCTGAGAGGAACGGTTGAAGGGAAACAAACCTTGAGAGGTATTGTTCACGGTCATTTGCAAATGTTTTCCATTTCTGGAAAGTAGGGAGACAGTACTTGTACTCTGGGTGGCAGGGAAGTGTAGGGCAAACTCAGAGTTAAGGTTGCGGAGCACCTTGGGGGCTCAGGCAGTTGAGCATCTGACTCTGGATTTTGGCTCCGGTCATGATCTCACGGTTTGTGGGATTGAGCCCCTCGGCGGGCTCTGCGCTCACAGCACGGAGCCTGCTTGGGATTCTCTCTCTCTCTCTGTCTCTCTCTCTCTGTCTCTCTCTCTATCTCTCTCTTGCTCCCTCACTCTCTCTGCCCCTACCCCACACATGTACACACGCTCTCTCCCCCCCCACACACAAAAATAAACATTAAAAAAAAAAAGGTTGGGATAAGCAGAATGGTCATCTCATAGCTAATAGTGATTAAACAATGAAAAAGAATGTCACAGTAAATCAGGTGACTTTTAAGGAGAGTTTACTCACTTGTCCCCTCAATATGGATTGAGCTAGTGCTGCTTAGAAACAGGGATCTGACTTGTCTGACTGCACAGGTTTGGGGGAAGAATCTGATGAAATTTGGGGGTCTGTAATAATCAGCTTAAAAAAGAGGTACAACAGTACCTCTCGGTAGGCAGTAACCTAGCAAGTTAGGTGAGGCAGGTGTACACTGAACACGCCGCTGAATGCCTGAAGTGATTTGTGAGGAGGTGGAGACCTGGAGGCTCTGAGATCCCTGGTAGAGGCCCGGGGTACGAGTCCAGGCTCTCCAGACGAACTGAGCCAGTAGGAGATCCAGGGAGAGGGAGAAATTTACTGTGAGGAACCACCTCGCGTAATTATGGGGGCTGAGAATTCCCACCGTCGGCCGTCTGCAAGCCAGACACCCAGGAGAGCCGTTGGTGTGATTCACTCCCAAGTCCTGAGGCCTTAGAATTAGGGGAGCGATGGTGTAAATTTTAATCCCAAGGTCAGAGATGACTGTCCCAGCTCAAGCAGCAAGGCGACAAGACGGGCAGATGCCTCTTTTTCTCAGCTTCTGTCCAAGCCCCCGTGGACTGGGTGATGCCCACCCACACGGACTCAAATGCTCCTCTCCTCTGGAAGCCCCCCCCCAGCCCTGGTTAATCTGGATACCCCAAGGCCAGTCAAGGTGGCACATGAAATAAACCATCACAGGGAGGCACCCTTCCTTCCATTTCTAGGAACCGTTGTTTTGCAGGGGTGTGGAGGATGGGAAGCCAGCTTCTAGGCTTCAGGCTGGACCACACCTGCAGCCATTCTGGGCTCGTCTGCTCTCTGGAAACACAGGATCAACTTTGTACTCGGCTCTTTTTCAGACCATGCTCCTGTTCTCATGTTCCAGGTTTTGTTTTCAAATGTTCTTTTTTTTTTGAGAGAGACCAACCCAGAGCACGAGCAGGAAAGGGGAGGAGAGAGAGATACACACACAGAATCCAAAGCAGGCTCCAGGCTCTGAGCTGTCAGCACAGAGCCTGACATGGGGCTCAGACTCCCCAACAGTCAGATCATGAGGTACCTGAGCTGAAGGACACTTAACCAGCTGAGCCACCGGGGTCCCCCTCCAGGGTTTTCTTTAATGCTGTAATTAGGCACAGTGTACATACTGTTAGGCTCGCCTGTGTGCACAGGAAAGAGTGATTTTGACTAAATGAGAGAGTTGGGTTGCTATCACCACAGTCCAGGTTGAGACCATTTTCATCACCCCCCAAAATTCCTGTTTGCACACAATCCCTGTTGGCACCTTGCAGCCCCAAGCAACCACTCATTTGCTTTATGTCTTAAAGGTCTGCCTTTCCACGATTTTTCATGTAAATGGAACCATACAATAATGTGGTCTTTTGTGTTTAGTTTCTCTCACTTAGTATGATGACTGTGAGGTTCCTCCATGAGGTAGCCTGCCTCAGTAGTTCCTTTGTATGTCAAGCAGTGTCCTTTCTCTGGCTGATGCACATTTTGTTTCCCTGAATAGCTACACAAAGGCTAATCTAGATACAATATGGAATACCCAACACGATAGAATGCTAGCCCGCAGGGGCTTTGGTTGGTTCATTCGGTTAAGCCTGCAGCTTCCGCTCAGGTCCTGACCTCACAGCTGGTGGGTTCAAGCCCTGCACCACGTCGGGCTCTGGGCTGACAGCTCAGCGCCTGGAGCCTGCCTCAGATTCTGTGTCTCCCTCTCTCTCTGCCCCTTTCCTGGTTGCACTCTGTCTCTCTCTCTCTCTCTCTCTCAAAAATAAACATTAAAAAGAATACTGGTGAGCCGTTAAAAAGTTGATGGGCATTTGGATTGTTTGCACTTTTTGGTTATTATGAATAACATTCCTTTCAACATCCAAGTACAGATGTTTGCATGGAAATAGGTCTTCATTCCTCCTGGGTGAATAGCCAGGGTTGGAATTACTACATCATAAGGTAAATATATGCTTAACTTTTAAAGAAACTACCAAAATGATACCCAAAGTGTCTGGACCATTTTTTCCATTTCTACCAGCAATAAAGGTCTAGTTTCTTCACAGCCCCCACCACCCGTTCTCTCCCTCTGTCAAAATAAACATTAAAAAAATTAAGTTCATTATATATACACACATCTGAAACTAATGCAACACTATATGTTAATCATACTAGAATTTAAAAAAACATTTTTCAAGAAAATTAAAAAATAAAAAAAGTTTTATGGTTTTGGCTCTCCAATGAATTTTGAGTTACTTTTTGTAGCTGGTGTGAGATTGGGGTCTACCTTCTTTCTTTTGCATGTGGAGATGGAGTTGTCCCAACACCAATTTTCTTTTTCTTTCTTTTTTTTTTTTTTTTAAATTTTAAATGTTTCTTTTTGAGAGAGAGACAAACACAGAGCACAAGTGGGAGAGGGGCAAAGAGAGAGAGAGAGAGAGAGAGGGAGAAA